GTGTTAGAGATGATTTTTTTCTCCGAGAGAATATCATAAATATTTTCAAGGATATCAACAATTTCTTAAATATGCAATATTAAGTGATCGTGGAATCACCAATAACAATGTGGTGAACCTCATGATCAAGCTGAAAGCTTTAGTGCCTTTATTGTCACGAAAGAGTCGAGATTTTTTATATTTGATAGGTCGTGTTTTTTTCAAGATCTTCGTGCAGAGAGATTGATATATGGTTCCATAGATCCACATGACCATTGAGTCAATACAGTTTCATAGAGTTTTATATAATATCACGGGACCTTTGTCGCCCGGTTCAACGAGGTGGAGATGGGCTGAATACAAAGCCATACTACATGCCCGGAAATATAAAATTACATGCAAACATCATATGTATGCTAACAGAGTCGTCTGAACTCGATGATGTAAACTCTAAATTTGATGATGAATCAATTTGACAATTGTAGAGTATGGGTTGAAAGAGACTCTTGTGTGAAAAACAATGTTAAAAATATGAAGGATTAAAGGGTGTTTATAGATTATTTTTTTTTTAAAAAAGGAAGAAAATAAATATTGGTGGAAAGCAACGGTCTTCTAGCCTTTTGGAAGAGACATGTCGAATCAGTATGCTTTTGGAATGTATCATATGATTGAAGCGGTGTTCCCATCGGTACCGCATGATCACATTTGTCATCCCGCTCCCATGTTGAAGTCACACCCTCCCCTCCTAGACTGCAAATGACAAAGACACAAAAACCTTTTTTATTTCAAAGTACCTTTTTAATATGGTTTTGACAATAGTTGTTTACAATTTTATATATTAATCACGTGACAATACAATTTTTTGTTCTTTTGATTAGTTTGATGTAAATGACACTAAAAAGGAAGTTGGTCCTTAAATAGTTTTATACTTTTATAGTTCAATTGCCCCGCTTTGTATGCTATTATTTGCAAATACAACCATAAAAATAGATACACATAACAATATGACATGGTTAATGAATCTTCTATTTTAAATGTATGATTAAGATTTAAGAAAAATGCAAATTAAATAAATAAATACATAAATTGTTTACGTTTTTATTTGCCGAAGCAAAATAGCACTTTAAAAGCAGGGAACGGCACAGTATCACCACTTTCGAATCCCCGAGGTCTCTACGATGGATCCCTACTCCTTCTCCTCATCGGCGGCCATGGCTCAGCAGACATGGGAGCTCGAAAACAACATCGTAACAATGGAAGCCCCGCAGTCTTCCGAATCTGATGCCATCTTTTACTACGACGAGTCCGCTCAGTCCAAGTTCCAGCAAGAAAAACCATGGTCCAACGACCCTCACTACTTCAAACGTGTCAAAGTCTCTGCTCTAGCCTTACTCAAGATGGTCGTTCATGCTCGCTCTGGTGGCACCATCGAGGTCATGGGCCTTATGCAAGGGAAGACAGATGGTGATGCTATTATCGTAATGGACGCCTTTGCCTTGCCGGTTGAAGGAACGGAAACTAGGGTTAATGCTCAGGCCGATGCCTATGAGTATATGGTTGATTACTCTCAGACTAATAAGCAGGTTAGTTTCAATTTCGATTTTATGTTCGTTGATCGTCCGTTATGGATTTAGATTTCGAAAAACCCTAACCCTTAAATCCCAAATTCTTGTGAGACTACATAGTTTAAATCTAATTGGGATACTGTGTTGTAGGCAGGAAGATTAGAAAACGTTGTTGGGTGGTACCATTCACATCCTGGTTATGGATGCTGGTTGTCCGGCATTGATGTTTCAACACAAATGCTCAACCAACAGTTTCAGGAGCCATTTTTGGCAGTTGTTATTGACCCAACAAGAACTGTTTCCGCTGGAAAAGTTGAGATTGGAGCATTCAGGACATACCCAGAGGGATATAAGCCACCAGATGAGCCTGTATCTGAATATCAGACAATCCCTCTTAACAAGATAGAAGACTTTGGTGTCCATTGCAAACAGGTGAGTCATATCATACAGTTGATTGATTGATTGATTGATGATGTTTTGATTTGATCCTCTAGCATTGACTTTTTTTTTTTTTGTTAAACAGTATTACTCATTGGACATCACTTATTTCAAGTCATCTCTTGATTGTCACTTGTTGGATCTTCTTTGGAATAAGTATTGGGTGAATACCCTTTCTTCTTCTCCTTTACTTGGGAATGGTGACTATGTTGCAGGACAAATATCAGATCTTGGTACACACTTATCATACTTACTTAAAAGATGATGTGCTTCTTGTTTAGAATTCTAATATGGTTTTTTTTTACTTTTTTACCCTTTTGTCATGCAGCTGAAAAACTGGAGCAAGCAGAAGGTCAATTGTCCCATTCACGTTTTGGTCCTCTCATAGCACCACCTCAAAGAAAGAAAGAGGTCAGTGGGTAGCAGCATCTTCTGTGTTGCATATTTGCATACATGAATATGAATTTTGGAAGTTTCATACGATTCATATTTCATTCATATATTCATCAATTACAGGAAGAATCACAGCTTGCAAAGATTACACGTGATAGTGCAAAGATTACTGTGGAACAGGTTCATGGTTTGATGTCACAGGTGGGAATGGGATTACTATCTTTCAATCAGGTTATGATTTGTGAGTGCTACAAATGGTCTTTTTGACACTTAGTTTTTTTTTTTTTTTGGGTAATTGTCAGGTGATCAAGGACATTCTGTTCAATTCGGTTAGGCAATCAAACAAATCTCAGGGAGAGTCAACAGGGCCTGAGCCTATGGTTCAATCTTGAAGATGCTCTCTTTCTTGATATTATGATTGCTTTACTTGAGAGATGCTGCACTACTTTTCTTTTAACTCATCAGTTTTGTTGCTTATTCATACTAATGTGAATGTTCTTAATGCTTCTCTTCTATTTGGGTTTAAAAATGTGAAAATTAGCTTATAGCTTCATTTTTTGGTAAAGTTTCATGGGTGATTCTTCTGTGAGTGGCAATCTTGATCCATTTTGCTAGAAATAGGTAATTTGGGTTTTTGTTTTTTCTCTATCGATACAAAGTCAAATAGGTAAAAGCTTTGGAAACTAAAATACTTAAACTGTGATGACACAAATTGTCGACCCATGATGTATATTATTATATCGTTATACTAAATTGTTTTCTTTAAAAAATGCGGATTTTGTAAGGGTTTAGGAATTTAGTGTTGGATAAATTAGAGGTTGGAGATGTCATATGGTAAATATGGATTTTTTTAAGTACATTGTTATTTTGGCTTTTGAACTTAAATTTGGTTAAATCGGATAATGACCATTTTATTTGGTATTAAAATTAATCAACACTTAAGAGGATTAAAAGGTGTTTGGATAAGTTTTCTGAATTGTTGGGCTTAATCTAAGTTTCCAATTGTGTGAAAAATGAGAAAAGATGATAAAACAAGTCTTTCGATTGTAACACTTGAAATTATACACCTTTTGTGGTTCAATTGAGAAAAGAAGAAAATAGAAATTAGGGCTTCCCAAGTTAATGAAAATCTAAGGTATGAGGTGTTTACCCTCAACGATCTTCTGTTCATAGGACCTTGATTTCATTATTTGTATAAAGTTTGTGGTTCTATATTGTCATATCAAGGAAACTCTTATTTGGATGATAGTCGAGGAGAACTAGTCTTTTAAGGTTAAACCTTGAATTAACCATAGTTTGGTAGGTAGTGTATGAAAAGAAGAAGTTTTAAGATGAAAGCCTTTCGTAGGGTTGGTGATAGTCAGTTAGGAGAGCATCAAAGTGAGTGTTTGTGTGTGTGTGGAAGGGAAAAACGAAGTTGATGAGAGAGTGGTAAGGAAAATCGTATTTGGTGTTAGAAGTTAGAAAGGAAACATTCAAATCAAGCAGTGAAAGCCTCTTGGTAAGAACGTATTGCTTTTGTGTTTATTGGTTGGAATTGGATTGACATTGGGGATTTATCATTTAGATTGAAATTTGATTGACAAATTGGAGATTTGGAGGTGTTAGAATTATGTTTATAATTAATGCTTACTATCCATTGAAAGAAACGATTGCAAGCTGGTTTCCAAGTTGAGAAGATGAAGTAGTAAAAACCAACCTTCATATTTTAATGATGATTTGGGATTAGAGTGTTAAATGATGTTCTGGTTAGTGTTGAAACAATGTTTACAATGCGTTATAAAATCATTAAAACCCAATGAAAACTGAACCCCTTAATGATTAGAGGTACTTGGATGTTGAAAATGGGCAGTAGCTTTGGTATGGGTATGGCCGTAGGAGATTGTGTCTAGCTTGTACAGATGCCTTGTGGTCAGCTTTGGGCTTTGGATGGGTATCTTCACTTGTAAGTCTTAAACTTCATTGTTGTGTTGTGGCTTATTTATAGGTGATCACGGAACACTTCAGGAGGGCTAAAGGAGCTATATCTCTATGTGATGTGATACGGATTTAATGAGGTGTGATCATTATGTTGATTCTTCATCCGTCATTGATGTGACTACATAGAAAACAATAATGCATATCTGGCCTACAAAGTTGTACTTTCAATGTCTTTATTTGCAACAGGTTACGTATTTATATATAGCCTATCATTTCATGTATTCATATGTATACTTTCCAAGTAGTCAAGCTTCTAAATAGCATGTGGCATGACGTGAGGTGACATAACAGTATGTTCAAGCCTCAAGCTTTTACGATTTATGACGTTTTTTAAAACACAACTTAAATCAACAATTTTGTATACATTAAAAAATAGAAATCACATAATTACAGATTTATGTAAAATATATCTGGTATCAACACTTATTAACGAAAAGTTAACACATACTCAATGGTTTCATTACCGATATAAACAAGTCAATAAGTAAGAGAAAAAAAAAACTCATGCTTGGCACACGTCATGCCTAACAACAACGTTGTCATATACAAAGTAGTTCATTAAAAAAATGACATAAAAAAGGAGTTATGATTTATGTTTATTGGCATATGTATAGCTATTATAATCATTTTATACTCGCATCCTATATACAGTTTGATAGATTTAGTCTGATTTATTAAGTTAAACAAAAGTGATACACTTTTCCAACATCATCTGTACACATCCACCCACAAAATAAAAATAAAAATAACAAGTCTCTTGTTTACTTAAATCAACAGAACAATAACCATACAAACATTAATCATCTTCTTCATCATCATCATCATCATCATCATCATCATTGAGTGCTCCTGCATCATCCCCAATACCTTCGAGCAAAGCATCAACATCCTGACCCAACTCCATCAACCTGGCACTCAATTTCTCCACTTTACTCTGTTCTTGTCCAAGACAAACAAGCAAATCACTCAGCTCCCCTTCACTCTCCTTCTGCGCCTCTTCCCTCGCCTCCTCTTTTATCTTCTCAATATCCACACTCACACTCACACCACCACTCTTCATTTCCAACTGATAATTCGCTTGTTCCAAGCTGTTATACGCATCCGAAAGACTCTTCAAATCCGTCTCCATTTTTTCTGCCATGTTTTTATAAGTCAACGCCTCACTCTCAATGTTTGACTTTTCACTTTTCACCATTTCTAGCCTCTGCGACACTTCTTGAAGGTCCCTTCTCAGTGTCTCTATTTGCACCCTCTCCGACCCCCCACCACCGCCACTAGATCTAGTCTCACCACCTCCACCCGTGCTTGCTAGCTCCTCTGCTAATGTCGAGTTTCTATTCAGAAGATCCTGTTCACAGAAATTACCATTTTACCCTTACATTCTATATATATATATATATATATATATATATATATATATATATATATATATATATATATATAT